CTGGACCATTCCAATTTGCCTCATAACTATAGGGGTGCATCTGCAATATTACATTGACCGCGAAAGCAGCAACGGCAAAAATACACATTCGTTTATCAACACGGGCATGCCCGCAGACGGCGTATAAAATTGCATGCCAATTACACAAAGAGAACCCAGTGTTTTGACTGCGAACACGAAAAAACGACTCTTCACAACACTCCGTCCGGAGGTCCTGACCTCCTTCACGGTCTATTATTATTCGCCATACCATACTCTATGTGTTTAGTCATTTGTTTCACCTTTATGACCACGTAGATTTCATAATGTAGGAAATGTTTTTTTGCCTAAATGTTTTTTATTCGCACGCTCGCGTCAGTTTTGGGGCTCCCAGAGGATGTCATCCATATAATCAAATCAACAAGGCCTAATAGTAAAACGCAGACTTGTCTTTTAAATATTGTATGGATAGGTCATACCTAAGTTGATGTGTTATTCAAATAAACCCTCCAGGTCGGGTGAAGTTGTGGATCCCCGTCTGAAGCTCCAGCTGCCTTTCCTGACGATGTCGTACTTCTGGCGGAAGGTGGTCGGAGTCTTACTGAAACCAGTCGTAAGTAGAATTCTTACGTACTACTTTGTATACAGAAGTAGTGATCATCATCTTAGCTTAAAGGCTGAATCTTGATCAACAATACATAGACTTACGTTAAAATGTTTCCTAGATTATGTTTAGACAATTTTTTCACTAAATATTACTAGTAGCCTCTGTCATATAGCTTTTTGTATAATAGTTGAAATTTTCATTTTCCCCATTTCTGTATAACCTTGCAGTCGGCTAGAATAGCAAGGATGATGTCACACCGTATACTTCGGTAAGTTTGGAAACGTTCCTTAACTGTTTTAAATTTAAAACACCAGAAAAAACTAACATGGTTAACTTTGCCTGTGTATGTGCTTATAATTATGCCAAGTTAGACATGCACACAGAACAGACATGGTAACAACACCCTGCATGCCTTATCTATATAGGCCTCTATTGTAAAATTTGAACAGATTAAATTTGAATTAACGGGTTTATCAATATTCTTTCAGGACCATCTATGACTTGTGGCAAAGACTGGTGGAAAGAGAGGTACAAAATATAACTTACACATAACTTACATTCAACAAAGAAGTCTTCAAAGATCTTTCAATACCCCTTACGTATTCTTTGAATACAGATATTAAAACATTGCATGATAGGAAGTAACGTGTAATAGAACACATCACATGTTACAGGTTTATGTAAGAGAGTTCCTGACTGCCTGGGAAGAAGCCGACATCGACGTTCTACTGTGCCCTGCCTTTCCTATACCTGCCTTTAAACTCCAGGGGGCACCTGCATTGTCGGGTATGTACTATACTAAGTCTTCTTCCTTCCTAGCATAACAGGTTTGTGTATCTGTTTCTCCGGGCAGAGTAGGTTGGCAGCACGTGGGTACGAAAAAGATTGACAGGCAGAATGACAAGAGGTCAAAAAGCAAGAAACGATGTGAACGTGAAGGTCTCAAAGTCTGGCCAGGAGCCAGTAAGAATTATTGTTCAACATGGGGGAATTTAGGAAGCCGAGTGTTGCATACTCCTGGGCCGGGCCCGATTTCTTCATTCTGTTCAGTTCAGTTCAGTTTCGTCACCTAATCAAGCTTACCACGTTTTGTTTTGGACAGAAACAACGTCCTACACATTCATCTTTAACCTCCTGGACTTTCCCGCCGGCGTGGTTCCCGTTACCAAGGTAATGGAGGAGGACGACAGGTTATTGGATGATTACGTCGGATCTAACAACGACTTGTTTGACAGATATCTTCGGCAGGTAAGAAACAAACACTGTTTATCGTGAGACAGACATGTTAGATTCTTGCATATGAAACGTTGACCGTTATGTTTGAAATGTCATTGTTAGGTTGTTACCCTTGTTGTTATCCTTGTTACTAGGTTACCAAAGGTGCAGTTGGCCTGCCGGTCGCTGTCCAGTGTGTGGCGCTGCCGTGGCAGGAGGAGATCTGTCTCAGGCTCATGAAGGAAGTGGAGACTGTTTGTAAAATGTAACCATCTTAATAATGAGAAGACCATATCCATTTTACTCCTGTTGTCCCATTCTAATACATAACCGTCACTATAGTTTTAGAATGAAGACACGATATCTTTTTTAGGCCATATCGTCCACGCCGACCATGTCCTAACCATTATAGAACCATTCCCCGAACCAGCCCCGAATGCTGGCCAACCTTCTTCCAATCATCCCGACCACTAGCCGAAGACTGCCGAATCCATCTCAACCATTTTCCAACTCTGTCCTGAATGAAAATTTGCAGAATTAGAGGTCCAATGGATATGAGAAACACATAGACAATTTTTCGTTCAAAGCATTCAGGACTGTGTAAAGTAAATGTCTATTGTGTTAAAACCAACTGTAATACTGTCATCTATTGAAATAAAAGATGAAAAGAATGCATTTTTGAGATTGAATGATATTAAAGAACAATATATGTAAGGCAAATAATGGTATAATTCCTTCAGTGTTGGTCTAATAAAGGATTAATGCCCCGCCCCGAGATGTTTATGGTGAGATAGTCCCTGCGCCCCCTAGTCAGGTGCGATAACCACCGAAAAAAAACACCAAGTGAGCGTAGCGAACGAGGTTGATTAAGTGGTTGTTATCGCACCTGACTAGAGATTATACCACCGTATACACCAAGGAAAATGAAAACATTACTAGTATTGTCATATAGCCTATCCAACTGTAACAGTTGTTCGACACAAATTCCTTTATGAAATTATAAAAAAACTATCACATTCTATGTTACGTTAAACAAGATGGCGTGGACAGAAAAATAAATCATGTAGGCGATCAATTATTGGGGGTGTCAGAAGTTGTGAGAAGTCTTTTTCTGTTTACATTTCATCTAATTCCTTTTCATTGGGTTGTATTTTCAAATAAATTATTCAAAATAAACTACAAGACGTTTTTGATAGATGAATACTACAAGTCTTAACACTACTGTAAGTGCCATGTCCCCTGTATAATGGTACGGTCCAAAATTTGGTCGGTTATTCTAATAACCGACCACTTTTGAGGTTACGGCCTGATAACCAATGGGAAATGGAGCCTTCTGATTGATCTTACCCCAACACAGGTTTAATGCACAGTAACTTTTCAAGAAGACAAGAAGTCGACGTCTTCTGGCCATATAATAATACGTTTTAAGGCTTAACAAAGAAATGCAATTAAAATTACGATGATTCACACCCTAAGATCACCGGTGTTCAATTTAACCTAATTATTTAATTGAGAATATGCAAATTATGATGATTCCGTATCAGGTGGTAAGAACACGCTGCTGCTCAGAGCAAGATGGCGAGTCACGGTGCTTGGACAGGGAAGAACTCGGTGGTTAAAATTAGTCTTTTAAGGCGAGCTACGTCCGTTTAAGGAGGTGAGTCGCATTTAACATTATCCTCAATGTTCTCGTACCTATTTGGGCCGAACTCGTCGCAATTCGTTGGGGTCGTGTGGCGCAACGACAGAACGTTCGGCTCAGAACCACGAGGTCCCGGGTTCGAACCCTGCCATGTCTCCCATCTTGTGCCCTTGGGAAAGGCACTTTACAGGCCTTTCATGGATGGAGGCCTTCGCGAACCCCATCTCGTATTAGCCACAAAAAAGGCAGCAGTATCTTCAGCTAGGTGGCTGCCTCACAATGAAAGAACAAAAAAGAAGATATGGAATGAAGCTAACACGCAGAATGGAGTTAAATTATTTGCGCCGGTGACGATCCCCTGCGTTTAAACCTGCACTTAGTAAAAGCCGCCGTTCGGGGACGCTATTTTCCTGTCCGTTTTGAACTAACATGGCTACATTAGATACGCTCGTTTCTTCCTCTGCTTTCTGAATTTACTGATTTATATGCATTATATAAGCCATCTTTTCCCATAATGTTGTTGTCGTCTCTGGTACTCCGCTCTCATTCGTCGGATGTTGGTCACATGTGCTTTCCATCTGCTTTCTCGTGTGCATTTTCACCTCACCATGTGCTCATCTCTTGTTGCTTTTCCCAATTCGNTAAAATATTACTTTGTGTGTTAACTCATTTGTTCAACCTTCATGACCACCTATAGCTAGATTTCAGAATGAAGGCAACTTAAAATATTACTTTGTGTGTTAACTCATTTGTTCAACCTTCATGACCACCTAGATTTCAGAATGAAGGCAACTGTTTTTTTTTATTCGCACGATCGCATCAGTTTTGGGGTTCCCGGTGGATGTTATCCATATAATCAAATCAACATGGCCTAACTTAATTATCTAATTGAGATAATGCAAATTATGGTGATTCCGTATCAGGTGTTAGACCACGCTGCTGCTCAGAGCAAGATGACAAGTCACGGCGCTTGGACAGGGAAGAACTCGGTGGTTAAAATTCGTCTTTTAAGACGAGCTACGTCCGTTTAAGGAGGTGAGTCGCATCTTAGCATTAATAATAGCATGTGTTCTCGTATTTGGGCCGAACTCGTTGCAATTCGTCGGGGTCGTGTAGCGCAACGGCAGAGCGTTCGGCTAAGAACCAAGAGGTCTCGGGTTCGAACCCTACATGCATGCCATGCCATGCCATGTCTCCGATCTTGTGTCCTTTGGAAAGCCACTTTACACGCCTTCAATGGATGGAGGCCTGGCGAACCCCATCCCGTATTAGCCACAAAAAAGGCAGCAGTATCTTCAGCTAGTTGAAGGTGGCTGCCTCACAATGAAAGAAGAAAAAAGAAGAGATGAAATGAAGGTAAAACGCAGAATGGCGTAAATTATTTGCGCCGGTGACGATTCCCTGTGTTTAAACCTGCACTTAGTAAAAAGCTGCCGTTCGGGGACGCTATTTCCTTGTCCGTTTTGAACTAACAACATGACTACATTAGATACGCTCGTTTCTTCCTGTTTTCTGATTTTTTTTACTGATTGATATGCATTATGTAAGCCATCTTTTCCCATAATGTTCTGTCAATATGAGATGTGGGGTTGTGTGGCGTAGCGGCAGAGTGTGCGACTCGGAAGTAAGAGTCCCGGGTTCGAGTCCTGACATGCCACCGATCTTGTGCCCTTGGGAAAGGCACTTTACACGACTTTCCTCACTTAGCTCAGGTGTAAATGAGTATTGTCCTGTCCTGTATTTGTCCCCTGTGTTGGTGGCGGCATTAATATAAGTTGATAAAACTTGAGTGTGTCGTCACCACGTCTGGTGATTACAAGTTGGAATAAAAAAAAAGATGTGCTTGAATGTTGTTGAACTGATGATTAGATAGCATTCTGTGACTGTTCTGAGGTATTTCATGTGAGATATACTTTGATTTTTCCATGGTCATTTCCTAATAATATGTTGACTTTTGATTGAATGTTGACTGCAATTTTGCTCTGCTCTCAGTTCCCCACTCAGAATTCGAATTTGCTCTGGCCCCCGACCCAAAGCAGGTTTTAGAACTCAAACAAATCATGTGAATATTGCAATGTATGATGCTCTTTGAGTAATTGTTGTACTAGTATTTGGCCTGTGATCTTTCTGAATGTGTATTTCTTTTACACCCCAGGCTTGAGATGCTGCTAATGTATAGCTGACATTGTGGGACCTGTCTCCTGTGTGTGCTGTGGGACCTGTCGGCTATCCTGTGTACCTGTCCACACTCTAGGACTATTATTCCAGAAGGACCTACCTGTTTCTGAAGGACCTGTTACCTATCTACAAGAGAACAGAACGTCGGACTTGACTGTGAGTTGGCTTTTATTTATAAACTCTTTCAAAAATGGGGTCTGCATGCCGCAATGCGTAATCAGCCATTTTAAGTTTGCATAATGTGAAGCCAGGTCAATTTCTTATCTATGTGATAAAACGTCCAGCCAGTTACAAGTGAACCATAATACGTGGCCGTTGCTTAATTGCAGCATTCTGCACCTTGCGCATGCCATTTCAATTTTGCATAATTTGAAGTCGAACAACGATTTAATATCAAATGTAATCTACGTGAAACCAAGCTGAACAAATGTAAATCGCGGGCGCTGCCTTACAGAATTTAGCATGCGAAGTGTGATACGGACCCCCCATGCAGACCCTTAAAAATGACAATGAAAGATGTTGGAAAGGGCATATTTCCGATCCTCTGAATTTTTCAAATTGCCATTGTTGATTAAGCTAGGCCCTCCCTGCTATTCGTTGTAATTTATGAAAGAGTTCAAACTAATATTTAGTTTTAGGCTGTGACTAATCTTTTACATTTGTATTACAAATATGACGGAGAACACAGTACATTTTCCTATTTAGGAGAGCACTTGTTATGAGTGTCTGTTGTTTCATTCTATATAGCAATGGGATATATTTTTAACAACATTTGTGATCAAACTGTTTTCCCTGATATCCTCTTTATCATGATATACAGGCTTCAGTGTACTATATTCTGTATATACATGTACTAAAATACATCAATACCTCGCTTTTCTATGGGTGTACTGTTGTGTCAAACAAAACGTCGTGTAAAGTATTGAGGCCACAACTGCGATACTTAATACATAGAATTGATGGTGAGTTCAGCACCAAGGAGAGGGCCACACTAAGGCCGCACAACACAGTATTTATGGGCGAACCCCTCAAAAGTAGTCCGGGCACAAAGTAGTGCTGCACAATACAAGAGAAGGGTGCAGAGATTGTTTTGTGCATGGCATCGAGATGGAACCTGTGGTAAATGTTAGAGAAATACGTCAGTTTTGAGACTGTAAAAAGTTGAATTATGGTGCGTGTTCCGTCGGCGTAGATTTGCGCTTGGATACTTGTCCCGCCGCTGTGCGTCGGCTGCAGCTCCATGACCTTTGCAGTGGAGACTGGGAACGAAAATGGCGACTGCCATGGAAAAAGACTTGTTCTTGCGAGGTAAAGACAACAAATTAGCTCCTTGAATGTACATGTTTGTACTTCCAACAAACCTGTAGCAACAGACCACGTTATAATAAGTTTGTAGAAGTTTGCGTTTTAATTTAAAGGGTCGGACTACAAACCCCTCGGGCTCAACTCCCCCATAGCGGTAATTTAGA